CCAGACCTTTTTCTCTTCTGAAATCCAGCTAAAAGTCATACGCTTTTAACAGGGCAGTTGTGTTTTTGCCTGACATAAAAATGGTTGGCATAATTGTATATGTGCCTGTACATGTGTATGTATATATGTAGGCATGTGCATGTATAAATATATATATAATGTATAATGTATAATGTATAATGTATAATGTATAGTATAGTATAGTATAGTTTAGTATTGTATTGTATTGTATATTATATAATATTCTTCAGATATGAAAAAATATGGTCTATGCATGGCTCTCAATATAATGCTCGCTTGCACAATACTAATACATGCATGCTTTTTTGTGAAGCTCTTGGTGCCCTCTGAGTTTGGTTGTTTGCTTGCAGAGATTATCAATAAGGTAGCATCACTAGGTAACATTAGCAACGATTATGTTACCTAGGCAGATAATGAAACATCTGTAAGTAAACAACCCAATTCAGAGGGCACGAAAGATTCCACAGTACAATTTTGATCTACTGATATTCTCTTTTATTGCATGGTTTATTGTTTTAAAGAGAAGGTCGGTGCTTCATTAAAAATGCCCCTTTTCTTAGAAAAGGAAGGAGAAAAAATATACAAATACCAAATGTATATGTAGTGCAAGAAGATATTTTTGAATTAAGCAATAAAAGATACACATACACATAAATGTATAATTTAAAAAGAAAAAGATAGGAAGAAAATTTTAAAAAAACTAAAAAGCTTAAAAAATATTCTTGCCCACATTTCAGAATGTAGGCACTAGATTTTATGTTACTTTATTATCTATTAATTTAAACACATGAAATCTAATTTCAGCTCACATGAATATTAGTACATATTGCTTTTTCTGATTGTTGTGAATGATAATGTACATCTTACTTATCTATATATTTATTTCCCTATAAAAATGGTAAACTACCTCTCATTCAATAAAAACCCAGAACAGAATACATAATACTATAAAAATACAATATCAGTTATTTTATAAAAGTTATCTTATAAAATATTACATGGTAAGAAGCATAAAATAACCAAAACATCTCAACAAATGATGTAATAAAAGTTACAAAAGTGAGGATGCAAACTTTGACATAACACATAATGCAGAACACCTGCAAGCCCTTATTTACAAAGTTTAAAAGAATCTAAACAAGTCAAAGGCTCTATGCTTAAATGGATACATAATTTGAATCAGTAACATACATACATACATACATACATACATACATACATACATACATATATATATATATATATATATATATATATATATATATATATATATATATATATATCTCGATGGAAATTTCAGTGGAAGAATGTTAAATTCACTTCAAATTTTACTCTTAGAGAAAAGTGATACAGGAGGTTTAATCATTAGTTTATTAAATACAAGTCTTGTCTACTAATTGTTTACCAAAATTGACAATGTATTCTCTAAAAATTGCTGGAAATGTAATGAGCAGTTGGATCATTTTATCATATCTGATATCAATACTTCTGGAAAAGATCCTTCCTAGAAATAAAATAAATCTTAAAAGCCAAATTTCCTTTTTAACCTGCAATTTTTTTAAAATTAAATGTTACCAACCATACATTTCTTTAACGTATACTGAGTTAGCTTTGTATATGCTAACTGCACAAAATCTTATACCCTTTTTATTAGAAAAGCTGTTTGATCCCTTCAGAGGAATGATTAACCTAGTTGTGAGAGTATGTTTCAATGTCCAGGATAACTATGTACTTCAAAAGTAAATCTGACACAGAATTCAGCTCAAACTAAAAACCATTCTCAGACTATAATTTGAAACATAGATTTGTACTGCAACCAAAATTGAATTACTCTATGTAGAGAGTCTACATTTAACTTCCTGGAATATTCAAATTAGAATAGATTTTCAGTATGGGTTTAATTAATTATAGCTGTTAACTTCGAACAGTGATTTATACTGTATTGATCGAAGTTCTTGATATTTATTCTCAAATCAAACTTGTGATTCATCTTCTTTTAAAGAGGTATAATGTATTTTAATTATTTATAAGTAATTAATTATAACTCAGACTTTTTAGATCTATGACATTTTAGTTTCTTTATATTTAACGCTTATTTTTTATTTATACTTTTTCTATAACAGGGATTCCCAAATAGTGGTGGGTTTCAAAATTTTTTACTAGCGGTTCTGTGGGTGTGGTGTTGCTTGGTGGGCATGGCATGGCTTGGTGGGCGTGGCTTGGTGGGCATGGCAGGGGAAAGATACTGCAAAATCTCCATTCCCTCCCCACTCCAGGGGAAGGATACTGCAAAATCCCCATTTCTTCCTGATCAGCTGGGACTTGGGAGACAGAGAATAGATGCGGGCGGGGCCAGTCAGAATTTTTACTACCGGTTCTCCGAACTACTCAAAATTTCCACTACCAGATCTCCAGAACTGGTCAGAACCTGCTGAAACCCACCTCTGTTCCCAAACCCTGGTCCATGGACCAGCACTGGGCCGCAGCATACCAGAAACTGGGCCAGGTAAACAAGCGAAGCCCCATCCGTGGGATGCAGGCACCACACAAAACCACGCATCCTCCAGTCTGCAGAAAAATCTCTCTCCACAGAACTGGTCCCTGGTACCCAAAAGGTTGGAGGCTACTGCTCTTCTCAAACACACACACACTTTATTTATTTATTTATTTATTTATTTATTTATTTATTTATTTATTGGTTTGATTTATATGCCGCCCTTCTCCGGAGACTCAGGGCGGTTTACAATGCGTTGAGCAATAGCCTTCATACTTTTGTATATACCTGCTTAGTAGGGCTTTCGGGGGCCCCCTAAGCAGTGTTCTTTTTTATACAAAGTCAGTTTATTGCCCCCACAAATGGGTCCTCATTTTACCTACCTCGAAAGGATGGAAGGCTGAGTCAACCTTGAGCTTGGTGAGATTTGAACTTGCAGTAATTGCAGGCAGCTGGTGTTACTTAACAGTACTTTAGTCTGCTGCGTCACCAAGGCTCATGATACATATAAATAAGATGACTTTTTCTGTTTATGCCATTTTCCTCTTTTCTTTTTAGTTATTTTGTAATAGTTTTCTATGACTCTTTTGTCTCTGTATTCTTAGATAAATACGTTTTTAAAAAATCTGGTTTGCATTGATTTACAAAATGTACATGGCCACCCATTTAAAATATATAATTTCAGGTGGCTAACACACCAGTACAGTACAACATTTTTGTATCAATTCAATTTCAATTCATTGGGAAAGATCTTTTCTAATTCACGACAAAGAAGCTATATCAATTACTCTCATACAAAAAATGCATCATTTCAGTGATAGATGTTCAAAATCTTCTCAGTCATATTGTAGCAACACCAACAATAGAGAACAATGCCTGCCTTCACACAGGGGCTTTCCAGTCCTTAGATCTATTTTCAACTACCAACTTATTTCTAGAATGGCAGGCTCAACTTCTGCACCTTCTGATCTTATTTGAATTTGTTTTTGTATATGCATCTTGTCCAGGACTCTCCCAATGGATTCTTCCTTATAGGGTTGGGAGAGCATTGCAACTTTTGTCAAACCCAGAGTTTCTGAAACAAAATGGAGAGGGCCTAAACTTATAAAAGTACTATAACTTCTAGCAAAGAGTTTCTCTCAAAGCTTTCAAATTAATTCTAGATAATCATTCATTTGGATGTTAATGAACAATGCTACACTGGCCATTATCTCAATAGACAAGGTGAATTCATTCTTGTATTCAATGTTCCTCACTGTCAATTTGGGCAATTGCATATTTCCAGAAGCATTAATCTCATGGCTTTTAGTGTGCAAGCACTGGCAACAATATTTTCTTACCATTTGGGTCAAGCCTGACAGGGAGTCCACAATAGTGATTGCACTGCAATGTCACCCAGTCTCTATTCCAATACTGTGGGCTCCACAGATTTGTTTATATTTGAGTACAACATAAAATACAGCAAATATTCCAATTTGTTCTCTTCCACAAAGATACTGAAAGCAAGCATTAAAAATGCCTGTTTTTTATAAGTTTTGCTTGTATTGATTATTCTATGTTGTCCACAGTCACTTCTCATGAGATGGGTAGCTACCGTATATAAATTTTATTAATTAATAGATAGATAGATAAAACAAGACACACAGAGAGAGACTAATTACATTCAGCTGCTAATTCCAGAGATCCTGTCCAGAAGTGTAGAACCCAAAAAAAACTAGTATTGTATCAAAGAAGGGTTATGGTAGATACATGATTTGGAGTAGGCAAAATACAGTGTCCTGTATTTTATTTTAATGAACAGCATGTTCCACCTCCTGTAAGTATACATTATTTTTACATTTATGTAAAACACAAGGATCAAGAAGAAAAGTTTTTTTTAATGGTTTTTCAAGTGGTCAACTGTATATTCACATTCTAATTCCAAGCTTACTTTAGCACCTTTCTCATTCCAAAGTAGACTTGATTTGCATGGGTTCAAGAAAATAAGGGAACAGTGGAGCTATCAACAAGAGCATGCACGATGGGCTGAAGAAGTTACATTTTTCCTCTATAAGCTTTACTAGAAACATTCTGAACTATATTCTGAAAAGGCCCATAAAAATACATTTGAAAGCATGGTTAACTACAGAATCATGCCTGCAGGTAAATCACATTTTAAATATGAGCCATATATTATATTCACCTTTGTTATTCATTTGGATATTTGCTTGTGTTAATATGAGAAAGAAAAATGTGTAATAAGACCATGCAATCTGATCAATTTAAACCCACATTTAAAAATGTTATCTATTGAGCTTCCGGTTCAAATGGATGATGTTGTCAAATTAGAGATTATTTCAAAAATCTGACATTCACATTGCTCTTACAAATGAATTGCAATTCACCTTGTTTTTATACCTCTAAAGACAATTTTAAACTTTCTCCTCTATATATCTTTTGCATCAGAGCAGCCATTTATCCCAAAAAAAGAAGCTTTGTTTGTTACCTCTTACCGACAGTTATTTTGACAGTTTTTTTCTGTGAGTCCATATTCATCTTCTCCCACAATATCCACAGCTGAAAATATTAGTGCAACCAGAATTGCAAAGCAGCAAACCAGTGCAAAAATCACGATGCATTTTTGCTGGGACTGAAAGACATTAAGGAGAAGAAATTGATATCAGAAGAGTCAAGTATCTTTCCAGTTATTGCAAACACTATATAGTTTAGTCTAAAAATAGTTTGCTTTGATCTAAAAATTGCTCAAATTTGTATCACACACATCAAAAAAGACAAAAGCATTGTCATCTTCGTTTTGACTATTTTATCACAACCTTGTTAATGGTTTTTTTTTTTACTATACATCATGTATGCCATGATATGGACAAAATACTTTAACCTTTGGTCAATTATCCTAATTTTAAAGAAAAATACTCAATAGTGCTGAAGAACTGACACAAACACAACCCCCCCCCACACACACAGACTTTCAGGTTATTTTGAAAAAAATATAATAAATAATAGCCTAAAGAATGGCTCCCATTCCATACTAAAATTCAAAGCACATCTGCCTTGGAGGGATGGGGTATTATTGCCTTACGACTTATCATTATTGTTTTAGTTTAGTTTAGTTTAGTTTAGTTTGGATTTATATACCGCCCTTCTCTTGAAGGACTCAGGGCGGTGAACAGCCAAAGATAAAACATATACAATATAAAATTTAAAAAAACAATTAAAAACATATTAAACAAATTTGGCCCATACTAATTAAAACACCCCTTTTTTAAAAGCAAATTAAAATTGAACAATTAAAAAGAGTTAGGCCAGCCCAGCTTGTTGGAATAAAAAAGTTTTGAGGGCACGGCGGAAAGTGCGTAAATCCGGGATACTCCGTATCTCTGGGGGGAGCTCGTTCCAAAGGGCATTGAAAACTCCACCCACTCATGAGAACTTTGGTAAGAAATTGAGGGCTGCCACCTGAAGGAATTTAAACTTTTTTTGAGAGAGAGAGCGAGAGAGAGAGAGAGAGAGAGAGAGAGAGAGAGAGAGAAGTACTGAAGTGTACAGTATCCAGCTGTGCTGGATACTGCCATGCAACAGCTTCCATTTTTCTTTTACTCACCGTTTACATTTCTAAGATACATAATTATATGTCCTAAAACCTACTGGTTAAAGATCTTATATTCTAATTCATATCAAAACTAACAAATATAGCATAGCTGCTGCATAGTAAACTATGCAATTTCTTCAAATAAGTCCAACTCATTTTATTGCATAAGCACAAATTATACAAAACGGCGATGAAAAGCATTTTATTTTTTTCCAACAGGAAATTAACATCTCAATCTACCTAAATCAAATTATAGGCAAACATATATACCAAAAACATGCATGTTAGAATACACATCTAGAAGTTGGTCAGTCTGTCAGTTAAATAATAAATAAATGGCCAATTAATCCATGACCAGCATCTCTTGCACCCACTGGGACAGACCTGAGTAAAAAAGTATTAGGATCCATAGACTCAGCCTTAATTCCTTCCATCAGAATGATCCATCCAAAGAAATCCTGGGGAAGCAGTCTCAGCCATTTCTCTCTCTCCCAGATCATAGCAGAGTCCATGGAATTCCAGAAATGACTAACAATCAAATGATAATGATGAATATTGTCAGTGAATATTGTCAGCACCACATTGTATGCCATCTAATCCAAAGAGCTGAGGTGGCGCAGTGGTTAGAGTGCAGTACTGCAGGCTACTTCAGCTGACTGCTAGCTGCAGTTCGACAGTTCAAATCTCACCGGCTCAAGGTTGACTCAGCCTTCCATTCTTCCGAGATTGGGTAAAATGAGGACCCAGATTGTTGGGGAAAATATGCTGACTCTGTAAACCACTTAGAGAGGGCTGTAAAAGGACTGTAAAGCGGTATATAAGTGCTATTGTTATTGCTAATCAGCCAGAAGGATGGAGAATGGTGCCATCCTTTGGCCACCCTTTGACTAAATGGCCAATGTCAAAAAAACAGGTTAAACTCAGCACTAGCCTCACCAACCGAAGAGATCCATTCAGTCTTGTAACTTGGAAAGCAACCTATCTTAGATGCTGGGACAATTACAGTGATAGCCACAGACCACAAAAGAAAAGAAAATCTCTATGCTCAGAGGGACAAGTCCAGATTATTTTGGGCAGCAGTGCCCAAACCCCACAACCTCTAACAATGATGCAGCTTGATCTCCAGTAAGCAAACAAACTGAAAGCCTCTCATGAGAACCTGGCAAGTTCCACTGCAGCAACGAAAAAATGTCGCAAGAATCTCCCAGAGTTTGGAACCAATACCCTAAAAAAATATCAGATAACAAAACATAACTTGCAAAACAAACCAGCCAAAATAATAATAAAAAACCCTTCATAACTTAATATAACCTAAACAAAAACTCTCCCTTTCACTAAAACCAGATGACCTCCATGATGCCATTTTAAAAATTAAATATTGTAGTAGACACAATTGAAGTAATCTTATGTACTCCTCCTGAAATCCGATAAAAGAAAAGAATTAGATAATATACAAGTAGGAGAGCCAGTTTGAAGATACGTTATAGCCCCACCTTTGACATAAAGCCAGCTGGGTGACCTTAGGCCAATTATTCTCTCTCAACCTTAGGAAGAAGGAAATGACAAATCATTTCCCAAAAAATATTGCCTAGAAACCTTAGATGGCTTCCTTCCTTTTGTTCAACCATGAATCTATTACTTTTTCTTCCAGTTCTTAATTATAATTTCTATTTTAAAAATAAATTCTTCATCCCACATAAGTCACCAATTCTAGATTCTCTAAGATATATATTTGAAATGATTAGAACCCTTAGTCATATTTATGCAGATATATTGAAAATATACAATACTAATGAAACCTTCCACCATCTGCTATGCTCTTGTGGTATTAGGACTGCCAGCTGGAAACAGAGAAATTGCAAACCTAACACATCAGGAAAGATCTAGCTTGAAGGAGGTTGGCCTGATATATTTATTTTGATAGCATGACAGAAGTCATAATAAATTATACTGCAAGCGAACTTGGATTGTTTTTCAAATGCACACCACACATTTTCCCCTCTATAGCTAAGTGTTATCTGTAGAGAAAACTGCCATCTGTGTACTGAAATATATGTTAATTTCTTTCTTTCAACCTCAATTCTCTAAAGCTATCTAGCTCTTATTCAAAGCAGAAATGGCAAGACTGAACACTGCTTTTGGGAATCAGTCAGTGAATTGAAATGAACTGGAATGTGCTACTTCATATCAGAAGAGCAGATGATCTTCTACTGCGAACAAAAGAACATAGAAAAAGAGTAATAATCATTGTTAACAAAAGGATGTCAAAATTAATACTCAAATATTAACCCCCCAAATGACAGAATGATGTCAATTCAAGTCCAAGGCAACTTGGTGATGCAAGACAATGTTCCAACCATAGATATGAAGCAAACAGAAGATGAACAATTCTATGCTAATTCGCAGCACTATGTCAGCACAACACCAGAAACAAAAAAGACAACATGCTAATTATAGCAGACTGGAATGCTTAATCTGAAAGGAAAATATCTGAAATAAAGCAGGCGACAAACGTTTTGCCAATTAAATTCAATATTTATAACAAATGCCTTCTTTGAACAACCTAAAACAACTACTGTAATGAAAAATGCTGGTTAGAAAAAATAAAAATTGTAATTAAAATTTCTGGAAGAAATATCAACAACCTTAAAAAGCTGTTTATACCACTATGACGGCTTGAAGTAAAGAAGATTGAAGGAATTTCTTCTTGAAGAGGAAAAGAACAGTGCAAATGCCAGTCTGCTGCTCAATGGTTTTTTAAAAAAAACACTAAAAAATAAAATTATGCCAACAATGGATATAAGCAGAGAAGAAGCATCAGCTTCTTCTCTGCTTATATCCATTGTTGGCATAATTTTATTTTTTAGGCTCAAAAATTCACAGGGATGGTGATGGTATAGCCATGAAATGAAAAGACATCTGCTACATGTGAGAAAGATGACAGATCTAGACAAAATATTCAAGTGCAGAGACATCACACTGACAATAACAGCATGAATTGTAAAAACTATATTTTTCCCAATCGGAACATATGGCTGTGAAAACTGTACCATCAGAAAGGCCAAGTGAAGATAAATTAATGCCTTTGATTTATGGTGCTAGATAAAAATGGTTGAGAATACCTTGGACCATAGGAAGCAAAAGATTACAATACTAAAACAACACAAAAATGGCTTGCTTGCAAGAAGCACTAATAAGGATAGCATTTTAGAACCATAATGCAAAGGCAAAAGACTCAAGAGAAAACCACAATGCTTGGGGGGAGGGGGAAATCAAAGGAAGTTGATGAAAGACAAGGTTGTTACATACTATCACTGATGACACAAACATGAATTACAAGAAAGAAACAGTTATTGGCAGACAATCCTTGTGAAATGATATCCATCAGGTTGCAAAGGCTGAAAAGCAACTGAATGACTGAGTAACATCATATGAGAGTTTGACATCTGACTCTGTGTTCCCTAACTTCACTGTTCCATAATAATTATAGCTGAGTGTGCCTGATTTAATATCACTAACTGCCTGCCATTTAATATTACGTAGTTATAGTGGGTTATTTGACACTTACCTGTTGAATAGCTCTAACAAATGTATAGTATTACTGAATGTACTACTGAACCTTAATATAAAGTCAATAAAAACTTGGGTAAGGAACCTGAATCTAAAGTATATTGATAGTAAATTTGAGTAAGGGATTATGTGGGGTCTTCAGTGTTCTCTAAACTTGGTTGTTTTCTTCAGATGCTACATTACCAAACTAAATAACATGAACAGTGCCAGAAGGAGTGAGACCTGCTCCCTATATATACTAGTTGGTTACTCCCACCAACATTGATATACCTATTAATGTTGGTGGAGGTATCCTTGATTATTCCTATTGTTTACTGTTAGCTTGTTTTTGTGAGTTGATAGTTCTTTGACTGGGTTATAGTTTATTACTTGACTGTTGATCTAGTGTTAATCTTGGTTGTTGATTGCTGGTGAGGAGGTGATTTGGTCTTTTTGTTTTCTTTTTGACTTTTTGATTGTTTCTTTGAATGGCATGTAGATTTTATTTATTTATTTATTTATTTATTTATTTATTTATTTATTTATTTATTTATTTGATTTATATGCCGCCCTTCTCCGGAGACTCAGGGCGGTTTACAATGGGTTAAGCAATACCTTCATACTTTTGTATATACCTGCTTAGTAGGGCTTTCGGGGCCCCTACTAAGCACCCTAAGCGGTGTTCTTTTTTATACAAAGTCAGCTTATTGCCCCCACAATCCGGGTCCTCATTTTACCTACCTCGAAAGGATGGAAGGCTGAGTCAACCTTGAGCCTGGTGAGATTTGAACTTGCAGTAATTGCAGGCAGCTGGTGTTACTTAACAGCACTTTAGTCTGCTGCGCCACCAAGACTCATCATTTATGTCTGTTGATGACTGATTTGTCTGAGTACCAGGCTTTCAAGAATTCTCTAGCATTTTTGGACTTGGCTTGGTCAAGGATGCTCATAGTTTCCTATTTAAAACTATGTTTGTCTTTCCATATGTTGTGAAATTAAGGAGTTTTCTTCATGTCTTTTGACTGCTAGTGTTCATGGATGTGTTCTTTAGTCTTCTGCCTGTTTGTCCTACATAGTGTCTGCTATAGTCCTTACACCATAAATTATAGATAACTCTTGTTTTTTTTTTCTTCTAGGGCTGCTGGGTCTTTTGGTTTTCTTAGAATGTTTTGGAGGGCTTTAGTTGGTTTGTATGCTACAGTGATGCTGTGTGGCTTTAATAATCTGTTGGTGGTTTCTGAGATGTTTTTGATATATAGAAGTGTTATCCTTTTCACAGCTGGTGCTTTCATACTTCTTTTCATGCCTTTTCTGAAATAATCATCTGTAACTTATGAAACTTCCCGAATTGGGCTGAATGTTCAACTTTCAGAAGGCTATTATGAATTACATGCTTTTTTCATTTTTTGTTTATCTTCTCTCTTTTCTGAACTTGTATCATTTATGCCTTGATAAACTCTGTGTTGGGCTATTTCAAGTAAAGGAATTTACAAAATTTCTGTGGTTATTTTTTATTGCTTTTCTACTCTTTTTTGGTTTTTTAACTTTGTAATCTGCCCAGAGTCCTAGCAGAGAGATGTGAAACCATATAAATTTAATCAATAAAATAGAGAACATAGAATCAAAGGGCTGGAAGAGACTTCAGAAGTTTTCTAGTCCAATCCCCTGCTCAAGGCAGGACAATGGAGAACTCCAGAAGCAAGCTATTCCATTGATTAATTTTTCTCACTGTCAGAAAATTTACTTACTTCTAGGTTCTTGAGATCCAACCTAGTTTGAGTTTAAGCAATATTGGATTGATGGATATACTTCAGCAGGGGTCCCCAGCCCCTGGGCGGTGGTCTACATGTGTGGTGGGCGGGCGCATGTGTATGTGCAGCTTGACTTCCATGAGCAGCAGGCTGGTGTGCACAGCGGGCCGGCTTGCACACACACCAGCCCACCACTTGTGCAGCTTGGTTCCCCCTCCTGCCAGACTGCCAAACCGTACAGGTTGGGGACCACTGTAGTACAGTTGTAATAGTAATAAATGTGTCAAATGCAATGTTTTAAAAGAATGTTATGTGCATAAGTGTAAGAAAAAAATTTAACACCGTGTGAATTATGATGCTTTTGTATATTTCTAAAACATAATATAACTGATTAGTCTTTTTGTTTGGCATATTCGTGTTCAATAAAAACAAAGCAAAGATAAATAGGTATTTAACTGAAATATTATATGTCACATACAAATTGCAATTTGCCTTTCTCTATGTTCTTTCAGCCATATTTTTAATATAAAACTATACTGAAAGTCTCTGCTTTATGTAATTAAAGTTATTGCCTATAATTTAACACAGGTTATAAAATATTCTATATAATTTAACATTAAACCTTTCTCTGCTTTAGATCATGTTCTTTTTGGCCCTAATCATGAATATTGTTTCTGTTCTTTCCCCCCAAGAATGAGATTAAAAGTATTCCCTGTCAGGCTTTGAGTTGGTTACCATAGTAACTCTTTGGTGGTTTTTTTTTTTTTCCTTTTCCTTTTTCTTTACAGAATTCAGACTTCTACAGTACAAGTTTTATTCCTGCAAGAGGACTGGAAAAACAATAAATAATAAATCTGAAATTGTAGGAAGACTAAAACAACAACATTAAGGAAGAGTGATATTTGGGGAATATGCTTGTTTTTAAATCTGTATACAAAACAAAATTGTATTGAATCTTGTAAGTACATTACACATAATATTTATATAAGAGAATTGTATCAAATGGTGTAAATTCCGTACATATGGGGCTGTTTCTGAATATTGCAACTACTTGAGTAGAATAGTACACCTTACCCCCAAAGGTGAAGGAAGCCCCCACTGGCTTTACGGAAGTGTTAAGACCTGGCTCTGACTGTTAAAAGATGGGGTCTAAGCATTCTATGCATCCCAGAGATAATTGAGCCCTCTGTCCTGTAAACCTTTTAGCCATGTTAACTTTTTAACTGTTTTTTTTAACTTATACGTTTTAACCTTATTTCTTAACTTTGTTCGGTGCTTTCTAATCACAGTTTTATATGATGGTTGTTTATAAATCATTTAGGTGAGGTGGATGCTCTAGAAATTTGATAATTAAAATACAATAAATACAACAGAAAGGAAATTAATTCCGTCTTGCAGAGGGCAATAGAGAAAATTTTATACACCAGCTGTTTATTATAAAACTACATCTTACTGGATGTCATGTTGAAGAAACAGTAATGCCCATTTGCATTATCTAAACATTATCTACACAGATGAATGTTTCTCACATATATATTCCACTGTCTTGAATAATAATACCCCATTTTATAAATGCTACCTATATTTTTGTTACTCGGTAGTACAAATTATTTCCAAACATGTTGTTCTCTGCATTTGTGTATTAAGATTGGACCATTTCTTGACTTCTTTGTCACAAGCTTTAATATTTCAAAACATTGTATAAAAGTCATTGAATATATAAGTAACCTAACACATGAAAGTTTGAATTAATTTGGGATTTTTTATTAAAAAATATGACAACAAAACACGCAGGCTGAACTCAGATGGTTTCTAACTAGGACATGGTCACATTAACTTGGCTTATATTTGGATGAGATACTGAGGTGTACTCGACTTAATAGTATGGTATTCCATTATATGTGTTACTTATAGTTTGCCACATTCTATCCAATGAATGCAGTTAAATGCTGCTCGTCTCTACATATCCCATCATTTAATACAACAAAGAATCATCATTCACCTTTCCCCGCTAATATTCAATAATTTTAATGAATATGTACTGAATATGTTACCAGACATGACAGAATATGGCCACTAAATAAAATAATCACAGGTTCACTTGTATAAAATGGACTGTGCAAATAGGAAACATGAAATCATTCAAACTATGATGATAAAGAGTAAGTCATGTTGATTTCGAATAAACAATCTGAAGAGCTTAGTTTCTGCCTGAATAACAGGATGGAGTACAAACAAGCTGTTTTCCTATTCATATCAGAAGCTACAGACAGGATGTTACAGACCTGACTTTTGAACTAAATCATACCATGCTGTATATCAGCTGATTTATTTGGGCATCTTAATTCCAGAATTATCAAAACCACATCTGAAGCCAGTCCAAGGCACAAAAAGTCCAAGACATATAAATATATGCTTAAATTGACTGTCCAATTTATTTGGGGAAAAAATATCTGGCAAATTGCACAATATATCTGTTCAGCTAAAAAAAAGATGCCTTAGCTGCTTTTTTATTTCAATTATGAACAGTAAAATATCCTTTTCATATGTGAAATAATCAAATACGTACTGCTCACTGTAGCATGTTTCTTTTCCCCTAATAGTCTCATAATTTTAACAAACTATTATAATGGTTATAAGATTTTCAGACAAGAATCTGTGTGCATAATTTAAAAAATATGATCAATACTTTTCCAGTTAGGAAAAGCAGTGCAACCTGCTCACCAGTCTCTAATCAAAAGAATCAAAAGATGGACAAGCATTACCTCCCTAATGAGACACTTAATGCTGATTTCTGGTTTTGCTGATTTCTAAATGTAGTAAAGTAAAACTGTCTGTCTTATTTATTGATTTAGTATACTTTGCTTTATTTCAATTATTAAAGATGTTATAAATGGCAGGCAAATATAACAAACTCATTCAAAGTGATCCACATCAGCAAACAACATATGCAATCAAACATTTAGAAGTAAACGTAAATCAGTATTATCTTTGAAAACTTGTTTTATTTACAACCGATGGCATAAGACTATATTCACCAAAAAATCCAGATATTTTCCTCAAACAATCCCCTCAAGGCTTCTGTTAAAATGTATATGATCAGGACCAGAGATATTTGTTACCAACTTGCTCTGCCTTGCCAACTAAACATTGATAGTGTTACTGATTTTCAGTTGCACCATGCTTTAATTAATTACTCTCGGTTGTTCTCAACAGCAGATTCTACTGCATAGCATTTTGCATTTTAAATAACAATTTATGGGAAAAAATATTAAAAGCATCTTACCATTCTGATTTTGTAAATTGCAGCAGTATCAAATGAGCTGTGGCCGCAGTACTATTCACAGGAGCCAGAGATATAAGAAGCACAGAGATGTGTGGAAAATGTATCCATGCAGCTTACATTTCAGTCATTCAATTGCTAGTCATATTGCTTTAAAATTCATCAGCCAATCAGAATATAAAAAGTAGAGCTTGCAACAGAAATCTTGTTTACACAGCATAGTTAGGGATGCTTGTTTTTAAAAGATGCCTGTGTATCTCCTTCCTGTATAAAAATACAGTGTTGAAGCTTCATCTAAAAACTGACTATGCAGTCTACGTGATTACACAAATGTTTGCAACCTATCCAAATCCTGACTTGTAAATAACCTATGACCTCATACATGGGCTGCTCTCAAATCCATGATTTCTCTAACTAAGCCAGAAAATGGAATAGTTTTGCCATAGGCAAAATACGCAGTTATATAATAATAGGAGATAATGATTTTTTTTTTACCCTATGCTTCTTTTTAAAATTACATTTAAACATGAGGACAAATAGCAATTAGGTGACTCAGACACTTAAGAAAATAATAAATGATTAGAATACTCATAATTCAATATAATTCCTTTCTTTCACTTCGAAATATAAAATTAACTAGTTAATTTCCAAAAGATTTTATGACATTAAGTCAAATTAAAATAGCCTGCTCAAATAAAAAAGGCAGAATGCAAAACAATACCTTATTGGAGAGTCTTTCTCTGAAGAAAGAGAGAGAAAGAGAGAGAGAGAATCTAAGGAAAGGAGTCTATGTAAAAGAGCTACTCCATACACTTTTTGCACAAAACATCTCAGAAACAACAAACCTCCACCCCCCCCAAAAAAAACATTTCCCTAAAACAAAGATTTTAGAACATCTAAGAGAAGCTCTGAACTATTAATTCAGAAATAGAATTAATTCCAAATTGGTCACTTTCTTCTCTTATTCCCTAGAATTCCTCTCTTCCAATGCTGTTATTTTCTACTTAGTCCTAGATAAGGAATAACCAGCTTCGTTCATCATTCCAAGAAACTTCATAGCAATGTGTCTACCAAAATTGTTCTGGTTGCCCTCAGTATCCAAACATAAATTCAAAAGACAATGAAAACAACCACAATCGCTTGTCATTGTGTTCCCCCATTTCATAATAGGAAATACCTGCAACAATGATATATCATTTCTTTTCTGCTCTTTCTATAGTTACCCATCCACAACCATTCTACCTCTAACAAAATGAAATTCACATTCCATTTTTCCCTCCATCTCCCAGGCTCCAAACGGCTATCATCTTTCTATAGGTCTGGTAGCATGTTTCTGAAGCTTGTCTCTTTCTACATTTAGAGGTTACTCTCTGCCTCCCCCAATTTAGCTGCTAGATCAACATACAAAGATAGTTCCATAATTGATAGTGGTTTTTACACTTGGAACTTCCTTTGATAGCTTCTAGGATTCTGAAGAAGTAGCACTCACCTTCTCTGGAAGCTCAAGCAAAGAACCCCTTAAAAGCAAAACCATAAAGAGACACCATTTTTTAAACAATAGACTAGAACTACATGGCTTTATTATTTTACTAATAACCAAACATTTGTTAAGCGCAGTGTGTTAAATTTGTTCAAAACCAAATGCAATAAACCATGTGGTCAGACAAATGTGCATGCACAAACATCCCAGAAGGGTTACCACAACTGTTGTTTGCTTCTGCATTGGATTAGAAAGCTTCTTAATTTTTTGTCCTTATCATTCAGCACAAAAGCAGGCACACTCTTCAAATGTTTACAATTCTTCTTAGGAGTAGCAGAAGAAGGGAAAAAAATCTTAAAGGAACTATTTCCTTTAAAAAGGTTTAACTATTTCAAATTTTAATATTTTTCCCTTGCTTTCTATGCTAAAAGAAGTATCTTTGATGAAACAAATATTCATCACATGATATGTGCTGAAAATTGCATTTGGATGCTTCAGTGGCTCCAGTAAACAAGGATGCACTCTGATGAATTCTCTCCAGTGGCTCTAGAATAACATTACCTGAAACTATAATATAGGAATAAGAGAAAAGTTAAATACATGATTTTGTTCAAAGGGCCAAAGTGCTGCTCTTGCAGAACAAAGTGACAAAGTAACAGCACTTGGTAGTGCCACTTATTTAGATCCATTTCAGACTGATTTTTTGTCTTATTCTAGGACATACAGTATAGAACTTATTATCTGCAGTATGAGAAGAGGAAGCATTAACTTGCTGATCTTGGGCATCTCAGCATGATTAAACATGAAAATTAAGACAGTGGGTTAAAAATAGACTTCTGTGATTGCTTCCCTTTTTTTCTGAAGAGTAGTTCCAGAAGTCCATTTTCAGAAGTCAACGGTGAAAAAATATTTCCTTCTTATAGAATCTGTTATTAATGGAACTTTCCTTAATGCAACTGAACTGAGTTCAGTTCTGTCACCATGTATGGATGGAATCACTCCAATCATCTGGCCAAACAGGATTAGGTGTAATCAGTAGGGAGGATGACAGTTTTTCTTCCTTTTTATCAAACCTTGATTTAAAAAAAAAAACAAATTCCCTGAATTGATGCTGAAATTCATTATGAACTAGTGAAAATACATTTTATTTCATTCAGGACAGGACAGAGATTATGTCCTGTAATCAAAGTGTGATTTTGCTGTGACAGCCATTTTTGCTTCTCAGCTTGCCACAAAACCAAGGGGGGGAGGGAAGACCAGGTTTGGAATGCTAGTTCCAGGCAACAAGAAGAAATTGTCCCGTGGGAACCAAAGTCATCTAATCAGATCGTCCACGAAGACCTGGACCGTTTCTAAAACAATATCCAGATACCTAATTGCATGTGAACTGCACTAGTGGGGAGGAGGGGAAAAACTATTCTTTAACAATACGAAAACTGCGGGAATTAAGTAGAGCTGGTTTTGCTTTCATACTATTCTGAAATGATGTACTCAACAAAGCTTTGCATTAAGGAATTGGATCATCTTGTCAGTGCTTGCTGTGTTGGGTTCGTCAGTCAGAACCTTGACAGTATCTCTGTTAACTGGGGAAATATCTTGCCTTGATTATGAGATAACCTAACCCTTAAGAGAGAGATTTATAGGCAGAGGATGTTAATATCCCCAAATATCTTTTTTTCTAACGTTGCTTTGTTCCTCAAGTGTACCTACTGCTTGAAGAGAGATTTAATTACAAGTATTCAGATTCTGCTGACTTCTAAATTAGAACATTGCTCTCTGTTCTACATGAAGACTTGAAGACTATTCAGAAACTGTTTCTAGTATAGAATGGTATTATTCATCTGATGCACACAGATAAAAATGCATATACACACAAAAGCAAACACACAGACATAACTGATAATCTGTTTATTTCTAGATATAAATTAAGATACTGATTTTGATATGTAAAGTTACATGTAAACTTTGCTATCAGCAAAGACATGCTTTGCTGATAGTAAGATATTGGAAAAGTGTGATCTATATTAGCTTTTCTGTGACTTCCAAAGTTACTTTAACCTGCCTAAGAGAATAGGCATATTTTTAGCTCAAAAGAATTACTTGTCTTTAACCAGAGCAAATGGAATGGCATTGAATAGTGAAAGGCATTGAAACGCAACAGGTACCATAGAGATCATTGGGCAGATAACAGATTGATTAGCAGCAGCTCAAGCAAACAAAAACAGAATTGCAGAAAGGCTAAAGACTCCTTTCTGTACATAAAAGAGAAAGCAAATAACACAAACCCTATAAGCTTTTTAAAATAAATAAAGAAATGAATGGCAACCTGCCAAGAGGTCAACTTAGCAATATGCATTCAATCAATCAACCAGCATAAATGAATTAACTCCCTTTTCTCTATTCCTCAAAGGATTTGTTTTGTTTATTCTTTAAGTGTACCCTCTAGTGGCCACTAACAAGAATAAAATAATACAATCCGTTGCATAAATTATAGCAAGGCTTTCTTTTATTACATAGTCCTAATTCTCTCTGGTGAGACATTTTTAATACATAAATATGGTAGAATAACAGAGTTGTAGGGGATCTTGGAGGCCTTCTAATCCAAGCCCCTGCTCAAGCAGGCGATCCTATACCAGTGGTGTCAAACTCGATTTCATTGAGGGCCGCATCAGGGTTGTGTTTGACCTCAGGGGGCCAGGATGAGTGTAACCAGAGTGGTTGTCGCCAGCTTGTCATTCGTGTGATCAAATGATACTTTTGCTAGTAATTTGTTTTGCTAGCACTCTGCCAGTGAAAATGGAACTCATAAGGGTCGTGCATGGACCCCCGGGCTCCATTTTTGGCTGCAACAGCCTCCTGCAGCCCTCTGCCAGTAAAAACAGAGCTCATGAGGGCTGCAGGAGTCCATCGCAGCCAAAAACGGAGCCCGGGAGGGCTGCACACGGCCCTCTCAAACTCCGTTCTCATTGGCAGAGGCACCGCAGGCCGGTCCTTCACTGTTTTCAGAGTGGCATCCAGCCTGCGGGCCTTGAGTTTGACACCCCTACCCTATATCATTTCAGACAAATGTCCAATCTCTTCTTTAAAATCTCCAGTGATCAACATCCACAATTTCTGGAGGTAAGCAGTTCCACTAGTTAATTGTTCTCACTGTCAGAAAATTTCTCCTTAATTCGAGATTGGTTCTCTCCTTGATTAGTTTCCAACCATTGGTCCTTGTCTTGCCTCTAGGTGCTTTGGTGAATAGAATGAAAAATCATCCTTACTGGGTGACAGTAACAGATCTCTGAAGAATTTGTTTCCCTTGTATCTGGCATACTTTTGTTTCCATTGTAATCTCTAAAGCAGAGGAGCCCATACTTATAAAGACACCATATAATATCCAACTCACACTGATAATAAGGGTTATGAGGATAGATATCTCTGCAGAATTCAGGTCCCCAGTCCCTTCAGGAGCCAAACAAAAATGGTCATGAAAGTTGATGCTCGGGAATGGAGGGGGATCCAGAGTGACCTGAGCTAATCAGCATAACAAGAAAGATCCCAGCTCTTGACTATGTGATCAGCTAAATCAACAAAGAGGCATTCTAGATTATTCCTACAGCACAGCTTGCATTATGAGAAGATGAAAATAGTATTTTAAAACTGAAACAGCCAAGGGAAAGTTAAGAATGCCTGTTTGATGTTCCGGGGATGATATGACAGCAACATGATGAAGATATGCTCTTTTAAAGCCATTAGTGGAATTTAAGGATTAAGTTCCTTAACTTAAGCCCATGGATCACCTAGTTAGCTGCTGCAAGAAGATCGCACAGACTCACTGCAAACAACAGCAGTCAGACATAGTAGCAATAATGGTGCATTGGAAGATTTGCAAGAAATACCATTTCCCCACAAGCAAGAACTGTGGGGACTGCAAAACAGAGAAAATAATAGAAAACGAAGAAGCTAAAGTCCTT